TTATTTGTCATAGTTTGAGAGCTGCGAATTCAACATCATGTCACAAGCAGATTGGATTTCATGGTGTCTTATGAGGGTTTACTCCTCTTGTTTACAGATAACACCTTTACCACCAAGTGTCCTTGTATTTTGGAAGGACAATAATCTCCCTTAAGCTAGTTTATAAGCATACTGATCCTTTTAATAAGATCCTTTTATTATAACCCAGTTCCTTCAAAAGACTCCACCTTTAAATGCCATTTCATTGGAGTTTGTGCTACAACATATAAATTTGTAGATGGGTACAAAAATGGACATTCTAACGCTCTGTGTTTTTAAAAAAATAATATTTCATATCATCATTTCATTTCTCATGCGTAAGCTAAAAGTAATAATATGTATACGTTTATTTGTGAAAGGAAAAACCAACTGCAGGAAACCTTTTATCCATGCACTAAACATTCCCTGTGGATATTAGAAATTATTAATGTGTTTGGGAAACATGTATGTGTAGACTCAACATTTACTTATTCCCACAGATAAAGGAGGGATAAGAGAAACTAAAAAAAAATGCAATAGAAAAGTGCCTAATGTTGAAGTAGCATAATGGAGGGAGGAAATTTTGTAAACCTTCAAAGAGGAGATAAAGCTTTGAGTAATAGGAGGATCTTCATAGTAAAGATAAACTAAAACAGATTATTACATGTTGATACAATGTAGAAAGAAGATAATGAAAGATATGAAAGATGATATAGTATGGAATGAAGTAGTAAGAACCATCAAGGAGTCCAGACAGATGGGATGGTAAAGAGAGATAGAGAGAGAGAGAAACAGAGACAGAGAGAAACAGAGACTGAGAGACAGAGACACAGAGAGACACAGAGAGATATATAGAGAGAGTGGAAGAGAGAGAGAGAGAGATCCATCCATATATGTGAAGATAAAGGAAGTTTCATTTTCCTTTAAGGAAAGATGATTTCTGTCCCCTACAGCTCTCTGATAGCTGTCAAAGGCTCATTACCTAGCCAAACATCACTTAGAGAAGCAGACATTAAGTTATGGGAATATAAAAGAATAGTAAATAAATAATGGCTTCCTATTCATAAGTCCAGTTGGAAGAGGAAATATAAATAATTGAAGCATGATATAGTAGTGTTTTCTTTTCTTTTTGTTTTGTCAGTCATGGGGCTTGAACTCTGGGCCTGGGCGCTGTCCCTCAGCTCTTCAGCTCAAGGCAAGCTCTCTACCACTTGAGCTACAGCGCCACTTCTGGTTTTCTGGTGGTTTATTGCAGATAGGAGTCTCACGGTCTCTCCTGCCTGGGCTGGCTTTGAACCGCGATCCTCAGATCTCAGCCTCCTGAGTAGCTAGGATTACAGGTGTGAGCCACCAGCGCCTGGCTAGTAGTGTTTTCTTAATGGAGGCATATCACTGATACTATGGAAAAATTCAAATCTGCCTGTGATGTAGATATTATCAGATTTTTTTCTCCTACTAAGAAAATATGGGGTTAGAATGTTGGAGTGTTAAAAACTGCTCATGAGAAATCATCAAGGAAGAGGTGGAAAAGACTAGTATTCAATACACCACATTTCTGAGAAAATAAAACTATGTTGGGTTGATCTGAATTTTCTGCAGTCTTTTCATTTCAAATCTTTTATTGACTTCAAGAGAAAGAAAAGACAGACTAAAACCCCAAGTATCTTTTAGAAGGAAGCAGAAAATTCATGGAATTGAGGCTTTAAAGGTAGCTAGGTTATGAAGGGTCAATATTTAGTATATAGTACAGGGCTTTTGGAAGAAGGATTCCAAGAAACCTGTCCAAAAGTAGTCCTTAGATGCCTCAAAATGAAGTAGAGACTATAAGTGTTTTAACCATGTTAGTTCTGGAAAAACACCTAATCTATAAGGGAATATTAGAATCCTGGAAAGTGCACCAGCATTCACTGGAACCTTTTGTTTATTCCTATTGTTAAGTAGTAATACTTAATTTAAACATACTTAATTGTCATTCTCCATGATCTGAAAATCAATGGTACAGATACTAAGCATTTTATCACACAGGATGTGTTGGATCTCTGTACCTGTGAGTATATAACTTATGACGATTGCTTTGCTCATTTTCAAAAACTCCTTCCTTTATTTATCCATCTGTCTAACAATGCACTAGCCATCTACCTGATTTTTTGTTCTTTCACTCTCTAAAAGAGACTGCTCAAAGCCTATAAATGAGTACCTAAAAGGTCTCTGATATCTCATGTTCCTTGTAATTCTAATAATACTTAGATATTTCTTGTTCTTATAAATTCAGTAGATTCCAAATGGCATTCTTGCATCTAGGCACTTTTCAGTACAGTCATGTTCCTGATTCAAGTGCATTCATGGTTGTTCACAATCTTATTTCCTATTACCTTCTCCATGGGATTTCTGATCCTAGATCCCCTATGCATTTTTTGGGGAGGGAGGTCCGGTCATGAGGCCTGAACTCTGGGCCTGGGCGCTGTCCCCCAGCTTTTCAGCTCAAGGCTAGCGCTCTATCACTTGAGCCACAGTGCCACTTCCAGCTTTTTTCATTTTGCTTGTGGTGCTGAGGAATCGAACCCAGGGCCTCATGCATGCAAGGCAAGCGCTCTACCACTGAGCCACCTTCCCAGCCCCCCCCCCATGCATTTTTATGTGCTTACTTATATTCTATCTCCTAACTTATCCTTCCTACACTTCTAGACCTGAAAAATGGTGGTCTCTTTTCAAGGCAGAGTGTAAATAGTATACTAGCTCTCAAGTCAATGATCAGGTTGTTTTCATCAAGAGGCCCATTTCTTTCTCTGCATCTTTATAAATACTCAAAGTCAGAGTGCTACATTAATAATTACATTGTATTATTGTGATGGGCCCATACACATGTCTTCCTAATGTCTCCATCTCTGTTATGTTGGGAACACACAAATTGCTAAGTTTTATTTATTTATATTTCAATATTGTACTTCAGGGAGGTAAATAGTAGATTGAATTAGTTTTATTCTCCAAGCATCATTTTATTTCTGATAAAATTCCATCTACAGAAAGATTGAACTTATAAAAATTAATAATTATACGTACATACATACAAACATACATACAAACATATATACATACATAATTTCTCAGTTGTGGGGCATGAACTCTGGGGCTGGGTACTATCCCTGAGCTCTTCAGCTCAAGGTGAGCACTCTGACTGTTGAGCCACAGTGGTTTTTGTCTCACAGAATTTCCTGCCTGGGCTGGCTTTGAACCGCAAGATTAAGATCTCAGCCTCCTGAGTATTATAGGCGTGAGCCACCAGTGCCTGGCTCATAATTATATCCTTATGTCCTCTTAAGTAGTAAAAAGTTTTAGAGCAAAAAGGAATTGGAACGTGACATACAAAAAACTAGTATCCTAAAATGAAATTGCTTTAAATGTGATACAGTATCTCCTAAAGAATGAGATATTTAACTGAAATAAAAGTGTAATAGTGTAATTTTGAATTGGATTTACTTATAATCTTACGTTTTCCTGGGAATTCTTACACATCTAGATTTACATATCTTAAGTATATTTTCATCTTTCTGAATTAATTAAAAAAATAGAATTAAGAACTACATAATCCCTATACTTTCAAATACAAATAAGTCATGTAATTGAATTATATGAATACTTTTCCTCATCTATCTATCTATCTATCTATGTATCTATGTATCTATCTATCTATCTATCTATCTATCTATTTCTACCTATTACCTATCTATACTGTGTTTATGTGTGTGTGTGTGTGTGTGTGTGTTTATGTGTATGTGTGTGGTGCTGGTGTTAGAACTCTACGTATGGCAAGTACTCTATCAGTGAACTATATTCTTATCTCTTACACATAAAAAAATAAGTTTAAATAAAAGTTTAGGAATAGCTTGAATGGTAACATAGTCATCCTTACAGGGGAAATTCTCTTTCTTTTTTTTTTTTTTAAAGAATTGTATAGCAAGTACTTGTGGTGTTTCCTGTTTTATTTGTTCAGTATTTTACTCATTATTTTCTTTTCAAGGATGTCCTATATATAATCTATTTTTATAAAAGAAAGAGATATAAGATTAGATAGGTAATTTTGATTGTCTAATATGTTAAGGCAGATATTCACCCTTGAATACATATTTTGGTAGAGTAGTACATTATCTTCTAATACTTTATGCTTTGTACTGGTTTTCCATAGGATGTACAGATCTGAAATATCTTTTCCAGAACCACAATTTTCAATGAGGACAATCTACTTCTAATTTAATATAATATAGATTTAGCTATCTGGGGAAATGTACTGGTAAGTAATAAAGATGTCATTATAGTTTTTGTTCAATAATTTAATATTAATGATGGCCAATGAGAGAATAGTTTTCCCACTGGCATTTTACATCAAATTAAAAGATAATCAATGAATACATAATTATATTTCCATGTCCAAATAAACACTTATATGTATAATTTCATAGCTGTTCTTACATATTCTTAGCCAAGTCAGAGATTTTCCAATGAGAGATATTATTGGGAATAGACAAATTTAAAAAGAAAGATAAGTGTAACTTAAATTGTTTAACAATCTCCTACTATCAGAGTCTGGGGAAAGATGGCAGAGAAGCTGGAGGATAAACAAGCTTTCACATAGAAAGCAGTTTTAGTGTCCCAGGGAACAGTTCTAGGCTAGAGAATCACACCAAATGTGCCATCACAGTACAGAGAGTTAGGCCAGAGAGGAAAAATCCAGGCAATTTGGTCAAGGAGACAGATCTGAGTACTTGCCAGTGTCAGCAGGGGCAGCAGCAGCTGCTGCCACAGCCACCATATCAATAGAAAGAGCCCAGGACAAAGATGCCAGATGTACTGTACAAGCAGATTCTACTCACCACCAGTAAGAGCTGACAAGAACACAAATCTTCATCCTGCTGATAGCAGACCATGGATGGCTCAGAAACTAAGAGGCTGGCATGAGTATACCCAAAATATCCTCACTACTTCTCACGGAGCAGCAGTGGGGATATAGCCCCTCTCCCACCACTGGAGAAGGTCTCCATCTTTGATACTGACAAAGGCCTTGCCAAAAAGCTAGCTCCAACTCAGGCCATGGAAGAAAACAATAGGAGACATTCCAAAGGTCATAGGAACTTGATATGACCTGCCGGGCTCAGCTCCACCCAAGTGAATGTCACCCTTTCCACTCAGGGAAAGCTCTGCCCCAAGAGGAGTGATTTTCTTCACTGGGTAAACAGAGCCAGAGGCTACCCTCCCCACTACAACCTAGGCAGCACACCCAGCAGCAGGAGAGGTAAAAATACAATGGAAACTCAGTATACATAAATGCTGAGATGGCTCCAGGCTGGGCTCTGTGTCTCAGGAGCTAGCCCCTCATGGGAAAGCTACTGATTGCTGTAGACCTCAACTCTACCCAGAATCTAGCCTCATCACAACTCCAAGCTAGAGGAAACAAACATCTCCCTCTTTTGTGATACTCAAAGCAGATCTCTTTCCCACTGAACTAGCCTGGGAGAGGGTCACAAAGTCCTGGGTAAGGCAGAGCTTTTTAATTCCTGCTTAAAAAAAAACTGACTTAAGAAACCAATCAAGCCACAGGAAAACCAAACACCACAAGCAGACCGGAGACAGGAACAAGAGACTGGTTATAGACACAGAAGAGATACAAGATCTCCCCTCCCCCCCAAAAAAATCAAATATTTTTTTCATTTAAAAAAAGTTTTCTTTTTTTCATTCATAACTTTTATTTTAGGTGTGTGTGTGAGTGTGTGTATGTGTGTGTGTGTGTGTGTTATTTTTTAAATCTCTTTTAACCTTTTAGTACTTTTTTTGGCGTGACTTAATTGCTGTTCTGCTCATCCCCAGATATATACCCATTATCAATCACCAGACCTTATCCTTTATTGAGTACATATTAATTCAGATATTGATTACTCAATTCACAACCTCTTAGGCTTAGCTTCTTTAATAGTAGTATCATTTATTTATATTTATATAATTTTTAAGTATTCCATTTTTAAATTTTTTTGCACCTTTCCTTTTTATCTCTCTCCTCCTCTCATCCTATCTTTTTCTTCTATCAGTATTATTTCTTTATACTTACATAATTTTTAAGTGTTTCATTATTTAAAATTTAAATTCTGTTTTTTATTCCATTTTTTCTTGTTTATCCATCTCCTTTCATTCTGTTCTGTCCATTTCCTCTCAGATATTAGAACTCAGTTAAATTTACTCTTTCCTTTGACCTCTCCACATCCCTCTAATGTTATTTATCCCCACAATTCTCACTAAACATTAATTTCTTGTCTGCTGAATCCCTCTTTGATGTTCTTAGCCATTAATTCGTAGTTGTTTGATATTGAATAGATTGTATCTGTTGAACCAAATTGTATCTGCAGTAATTTTGACTGTAAAACTACATGACTAGTTAATACTTGCCTTACAATAGAGTTTTATCATGAAATTGATATTACTTTCTTACCAAATAGGCAGAAAAAGTCAGAGAAACACAAGAAAAATGGCAAGTCCAGGCATCTCAACTCCCAGATGACAAAACAGTTAATGAATAATCCAGAGGAGAGTTCCTAAAAAGCTCTACAAACATTACTGGTAAACATGGTGAAAGAAAAGATGGAAAACCTGCAAAGGATTCTGTGTGAGCGTGATATGAGTGAGACAAAGTTAACTAAAGATTAATGACAGAACTTTGCAAGCATGATGAGGCTAACCACAAGGGAATAAAATTAGAAATCAATACCAAAAGCCACCAAAAAGTCCTGTAACACATAAAGGCTGAATCATGAGAGGGTCTTGGAAGAGATTAGAAAGGAAATTCAAATGTTCATGATATTCAACAAAAATGAACACACAAATTACTAGCTCCTCTGGGACACAGCAAAGGCAGTACTCAGAGGCAAATTTATAGCTCTAAGTTCCTACATCAACAAATTGGAGAGATCTGAAACCAACAATTTAATGAGATACCTGAACCTCCTTAAAAAAGCGAAACAAACTAAACCTCAATACAGTAGATGGAAAGAAATAATTAAAATTAAATCAGAATTAAATGAATTAGAAAAAAACATAGAAAAAATGAACAAAACAAAGAGCTGATTTTTGGAAAAAATTGAAAATATTGACAGACACTTAGCAAATCTTATCCGAAAAAGAAAGAACATGCCCAAATAAGCAAACTCAGAGGTAAGAATGGAAACATCACCACAGAAACAACCAAGATTCAGAACATTATAAGGAAATACTTCTCAAACTTTTATGCTAACAAGTTTGAGAATCTGGAAGAGCAAATATCGACATGCCAAAACTAAACAAAGATGAGTTAAACCAACATATCCAGCATGAAAATAGAAAGAGCAGTAAGAAACCTCCCATCTAAGAAAAGCCCAGGACTGGATGGATTTACATCGAAATTCTACAAGGCCTTCAAAGCAGAACGCACACCAATACTCCTCCAGCTTTTCAATGAAATTGAAAGAGAAAGTTCACTACCGACTTCTTTCTATGAAGTCATTGTAACCCTCATCCCAAAACTAGGCAGGGACTCATCAAAGAAAGAGAAATATAGACCCGTTTTCCTGATGCACATCAAGGCAAAACTTGTCAACAAAATTTTGGTGAATCAACTTCAACAATTCATCAAGAAAACATATAGTATGATCAAACAGGATTCATTTCAGGGATGCAAATCTGGTTTAATATACGCAAATCAATAAATATAATTCATCACATCAACAAGAGCAAGGATAAGAACCACATGATTGTCTCAATTGATTCCAAAAAAGCATTTGACAAGATCCAACAAACCTTTATGATGAAGACTCTGGAAAAATTAGGAAACCATGAAACATTCCTCCATACAATAAAACTTTAAAAACTTGAAAAAAGAAATCAAAGTGTAACTTAAGAAGTGGAAAAACTTCCCATGCTCCTGGATCGGAAGGATCAACATCATAAAAATGGCAATACTTCCCAAGGCTATCTACAAATTCAGTGTGATACTTATCAATATTCCAACCTCATTTTTCAATGACATAGAAAAAGCAATCCAAAAATTCATATGGAACAATAAAAGATCCCGAATACAAAAATGATACTTAACAAAAAGAATAGTGCTTGAGGAATATCAATACCAAATTTTAAACTCTACTACAAAGCCATAGTAATCTAAACAGCTTGGTACTGGCAAAAGAACAGACCTGAGGACCAATGGAATAGAATCAAAAACCTTGAAATGAATCCACAGACCTAAAACCACCTACTCTTCGATAAGGGATTTAAAAACTTAGAATGGAAGAAAGACTAGCTCTTTAGTAAATGTCAAAATTGGTTCATCACCTGTAGAAAACTACAGCTAGATCCTCATAGATCACCCTGAACCAGAACCAACTCCAAATGGATCAGACTTTGGAGTCAAAGTAGACACCCTGAAAACAGGAAATATGAGGGGAAACCCTAGGTCTCTTTGGCACAGGCCGAAATTTTCTTAATAGAGACCCAGAAATAACAAATCAAATAAAGGTTGGACAAATGGGATTGCATGAAGCTGTAGAGCTTCTGCATGGCAAAGGACATACAGAGATCAATTGGAACCCCACAGATCGGGAGAAAATCTTCACTAGCCATAAAACAGATGAGGGACTCATATCCAAAATATACTTGAAACTCAAAAAATTAAATCCCCAACCACAAATCCTCAGAGAAACAACTGCCCGATAAATAAGTGGGCTAAAGAATTAATGAGAAACTTCTCTGAAAAGGAAATAAGAATGGCCGATAGACATATGAAAAAATACTCAACTTCTCCAACCATAAAAGAAATGCAAATCAAAATAACATTGGGATTCCATCTCACCCCAGTTAGAATGGCTATACTCAGAGCTCTAATAACAACAGATGCTGGAGAAGATGTGGATAGAAGGGAACCCTACTGTATTGTTGGTGGGAGTGTAAACTTGTTCAACCACTTTGGAAAGTAGTATGGAGGTTCCTCAAAAGGCTCCACATAGAGCTCCCCTATGACCCAGCAATCCCACTTTTGGACATTTACCCAAATGATCACAAACAAGACCATAGTAAAACTACCAGCACAACTATGTTTATTGCAGCATTATTTACCATAGCTAAGATATGGAACTAACCCAGATGCCCCTCAATAGATGAATGGATCAAGAAAATATGGTATATATACACAATGGAATTCTATACCTCCATCAGAAAAAAATGGCATTACCCTATTTGTTAGGAAATGGAAAGACTTGGAAAAAATTATATTAAGTGAAGTAAGCCAGGCCCAAAGAAACATAGGTCCCATTGTTTCCCTTATTTGCAATAACTAGTATATATGTCTTGGACAAGCAGAAAAGATCAAAAGCTATGTACATATGACTAGATAAGATGATGTTAAGTGAAATGAACCCCTAGATAGGAACAGAAGTGTTTTTTTTTTGTTTTTATTTGTTTTTTTGTTTTCTTTGCTTGCTATTGTTTATAATATTTTTGTGTGTTACTAAAGGTATTTTTTATTTTTATTGTGAAAATACTGTTGTTTATAATATTTTTAAAACGTACCATGTGATGTTTTTGTCGTTTTGTATGTTCCTCACCCACGGTATAACCCCTGTTCTCACTGTATTTGATGTTGGTGCTCTGCATCTTGTATATACACTTCCCTAATTTGGGGAGGGAAAGAAAAAAATGCTTAAATAGGGATACAGTTGACCCAATGTAGCAATGAGATGTACAAAACACTATGTTGAAAAACGAACTTTACAATTTAGGGGTGGTGGTGGTAGAGTGTAGTTGTGGAGGTGAGAGGGAAGGGATGGTGGGGAAAAACAAAGGAGGAGACAACAATGCTGGATAGGACACGTACTCATTATCTTGTTCATGTAACTGCAACCCCTCTGCACAGTATTTTTACAACAAAATGTATTAAAAATTTAAAAAAATCTCCTACTACCCGTTCTGTTCTCCACTTCTCTC